GGGTTTATTTTGTGTAGCTGAAACCATACTGCGCGTGCAATTTTATATCTTGCTTTTTATTTCCACTTAGCAGAAGCATTTGCCTTGCATTTATAAACTCTTTGTAAACATCACATTCAATACGTAGAAATAAGCCAGGGAGTGGGTGTTCCATGGGCCACTGAACCTTCCTCCTTTTAGTGGACACGTAAATTGTTTCCTGGCAGGGACTATCGCAGTTCTGAGAGGCAGCGTGTGGTCTGGTGGAAAAGAAAGGAGAAGGCAAGCTGCAGGGTGGAGCTGGGACGCGCGCACTCCGGTGCCTGGAATCCCGTCGTGGAAGCTTTTTAGGGGCCTGGTATATGGCACCTGGTGTTCCTGACAGGTCACATTCTGGGTTTTCCTGGACATGAGGACAAAGAATGGGACAGCAAGGCAAATCTCGCTGGCTTCTCAAATGCCCAGTGGTTCAGGTGTTGAGCGGGGGGGAAATAGGGTTGGGAGAGGGGCCGGGAGAGCTGGGAGGGCCAGGCGTGTGACCCTCAAGTCGTTTACAGTTTAAACACATATTGCAACAGCCATGTTTGAGGTGCAACAGGGCCCTTCACTTGCCTGTTTTCCCCATAATACAAGTCCTTCTGTCATCCCACCCCTTCTGGAGGGGCATTGTCCCGGGAGGCCTGGCCAGGGGCAGAGTATTCAGAGATCCAAGCCCTCTCCACCAAGGCCCGCATGAGAGGGCTCTTTCAGCTGTGTGAAGACGGAGTGAGCCACCCCAGATAGTGGGCTTACCCACCCAACAGAGGCTGGGGGACCACTTGGTGGGCATATTTTCCAGGGGATCCTGTCCTGGGTGGAGGCCGCTTGCTCTGGGACTGGCTGAAACCCCTTCCAACTTTGAGGTTCTGTGATCCAACAGCACAGCATTCACTGAAGTCCTACTATGAGCCAGGGACAGAGAAGTAACCCCCAGTGACGAGTGCCTACTGTGTGCCAAACACTGGGCTTCCTGTGCATGTCACCTAATGTCATGACAGGCCAATGAGGAGAGAATCCGAACCCCATCAGAGAGAGGGGAGACCAGCAGGGGCAGAGCAGGCCTCCCCATCTCCCGGCCCTGCGCATCCCCTGCAGCTCGGGGGGGTTGCTGGAGAACCCCACAGCATTTCCCTTTCCTAGAGCATTTGCACTCCATAAGGGGAGGGTCTTAGTAGTGGCCTTCAGTCACCAGGTGGCACCTGGTAGCTGTGGTGAGAGGCTCCGGTAGAGCCAAGGAATTCAGTATCCCCCATCTCTTTGGCCTGGTGGGGGCAGAGCTGGGGCCAGAAGGTGACAAGGTCTGTTTGTGTGTGTTTGTGGAATTTGAGTTTCTGATGGAAGATAATCGATGCCAGGCCTTCCCACCTAGAACCGGAGTGGGCGCAGGGCCAGGGCAGGTATAAGAGAGAGGGAGGAGGGCCTGGAGCCAGGCTGGGGCAGAGGTGCCAGCCGTCTGCCTGAGGACCAGGGTGTAGAGCTGAAGCTGCTGCGTACAGACTGCCGGGTGAGCAGGGCCGGTTCTGGATGTGGCCCCCTGTCTGGGGGATCGCGGAGAGGCACTAAGGAAACCATCAGGCCGGACAGGCTGGAGGAAGTCGCCAGAGGCTGGGGCTCGGCAGAGTGAGTAAATTTGCACAATTCCTGCCTTTCCTTCACCACCGAGCTCCTCACCCTTGCAAGTGACCGAGTGGCTGTCTGTCCCAGAGGTGCCCAGAGGGAGGCTGAGTGGCCACTTGTCAGGGATTTGAGCCCTGGATCTCTCAAAGAGGCAGTGTGGGGGGATGGTAATAAGCAATGTCATTTATCCAGAGCTCACCAAACACCAGGCATTGTGGGCTATCCCACTGAATTGAGGACAGAAGGGTGGAGGCCTGGCTTAGCATCCTAGTTCTTCAGGCATTATCTTCACTTACTCTTACAACAGCTCTATGAGGTAGATACTAGTATTTCACAGATGATAAGACTGAAGCACAGAGATGTTAAGTAACTTGCCCAAGATCACACAGCAAGTAAGTGACAAAACCAGGATTTGAACTTCCTGGCTCCCTTAACTTCCATGTTGTGTGGCTGTGGTAAGTCCTTTCCACTTTCTGGGTGGCAATTTTCTTATCTGTAGTTTGAGGGTATAAAGACTTGATGATCAGAAAGATATTACTCCCAGATTCCCTAAAGGTAGCTGGACATGGGTCAGCTTTAAGCACCCAGGAAGCCTTGGTGGAAACATTTACCAAGAACTATATATATGCCCTTTAGTCCAGCATTCAAATTTTGAGATTTATCATAAAGGATATAATCAGATTTATGAACAAGGAAATCCATTATAGTTTTGCTTATAATCACAGAAAATCAGAAGCAAAGAAAATGTCCAATAGTAGAGGAATAAATGATGTACATCTTATGATGAAACAATATGCAGCCATGAAAAATCACGAGTTCAAAGGATACTGAATGTCATTGGAAAAATTCTCATTTGTTAAGTGGAAAAAGCACTTGATAAAAGTATATATGAGGGGCCGGCCCGGTGGCACAAGCGGTTAAGTGTGCGCACTGCACTGCAGGGCCCGGGGTTCACCGGTTCGGATCCCGGGCGTGCACCGATGCACTGCTTGGCAAGCCATGCTGTGGCAGCGTCCCATATAAAGTGGAGGAAGATGGTCATGGATGTTAGCCCACGGCCAGTCTTCCTCAGCAAAAAGAGGAGGATTGGCAGATGTTAGCTCAGGGCCGATCATCCTCACACACACAAAAAAAGTATACATGATACAATCTATTTATAAATGTGTATATATACATGTGTATGAAATAAATGTACAAGACTGAAAAAAATACCCTTAGGGGTTGAGTTTACATCTGAGAGATGAAATTATGAATATTTAAACATTTTTCTTTATACTACTCAGCCATAAGAAACGATGAAATCCAGCCATTTGTGACAACATGGATGGACATTGAGGGTATTATGCAAAGTGAAATAAGTCAGAAGGAGAAGGTCAAATACCATATGATTTCCTTCATTAAGTAGTAGATAATAACAACAATAAACAAACACATAGAGACAGAGATTGGATTGGAGGTTACCAGAGGGGAAGGGGGGAAGGAGGAGGGCGAAAGGGATAATTTGGCACGTGTGTGGTGATGGGTTGTAATTAGTATTTGGGTGGTGAACATGATGTAATCTATGCAGAAACAGAAGTATAATGATGCACACCTGAAATTTATACAATGTTATAAACCAATGTTATAAACTGCAATAAACAAAAATTTTAAAAAAATAAACATTTTTTATTCTTTTCTAGATGTCCCAAATTTTCAACAATAAACATGTATTACTTTTTAAGTTAGAAAAATGAAGTTTCTTTTTTTTAAAGATCTGTTAATTTGGTGTAGGCTTGGCCCTTTCTGGCCTCTGTTATATCGCACTCACCAGCTTTGAGACGGATCTAACAGCAGGTTGTCTGTCCTATGAGGGCCTCTGAGATAATCTGGTCCAATGTGTTACATGTGGGGAGACTGAGGCCCGGGGGTGCAAGGGGGCTCATCCAAGGTCGTACAGGGAAACAGAGGCCCCGGACCCCCAGCCCAGGGCTCAGGCATCTGCTCAAAGGGCTACAGGACCTGGGCCAGGCTGCCAGAAGGGCAAGGAGGTGGAAGGGAATCACAGCTAGAACTCACTGTGTGCGGCTGACCCGTGTTAGACGCTAACTGCAAGTGAGGCCTAGAATGCTGAGTGTGGCTGACCTCACGGACCCACCCACTGATAACTCGGCCTGAGAGCGACAGGTGAGAGGGAGCAAAGGGCAGCCTGGTAGGCGTGGAGCCAGCCGGGCATGCCCCACGCCTCGCCCTCTCATCCCGCCCAGCTGTGATTCCTCCTCGCAGGACTGAGGGCTGGCTCCTGGCCTGCAGCTGGGCTCCGACAGGAGAATGAAAGGTCTCCGCTGGCGGTACACGCGGCTGGTAAGTGGCCCCGCTGGGCTGCGGTCAGGAGAGGTGGGGGGAGGTGAGGTCTCTGGCAGGGGGGGCCTGGGCTAGAGGCCGCCAGGTGATTTGTCCCCCTTCCAAGTCCTTCAGCAGCTGGCCTGGGGTTCAGAGAAAGGACTGAGTCAGGAGCCCGGGGCCTTAGTCCCCAGCCCCACAGTCCTGAGACCCTCGAGAAGGACAGACTCATGTCCAGCCCTTCCTCCCTGGGGTGGGGGCCAGATGGAGCTCTGTCCAGAAGCCCCGCACAGCTGGGAGCTCCTCTTTAGGCCTGAACCTGGCAAATAGGAGAAGGTGTCCTGTTCATCTCTCAACCTCGAGGAGGTCTCTCCTTCCTATGAAAAGTCCCCAAGTCACGTGTGTGTGTACACACACACACATACACACTCAAACACAGGCTCTGGTACAGAGTGGAAGCTCAATTGAGTGAATGAGTGAATATACATGCCCACTGACACACATATATATTTACACAATCCCAACTCACACTCACAAACACGTTGACAGGTGAACACACAAAGGTACACTCAACACCTTCTCAGACCGATCTGCCTACACAACTCTATTTTAAGCCAACACACACATTCACACAGACAAACGCACATTCTACACGAACCTGCACACGCTATCTCACCTCCGACTACACACATCATTTCACGGCTGACGGGGAAGCCTGGGGCCTCACTTTCTTCCTTTGTAAAATGGGGACAGTAAGACGCACATTCTTCTTAGGATTCTTGGGAAAATTCAAAGAGATTGTGCGCAGCAAGAGCTCACACAGGCCTGGGCAAATGTCAGCCGTGATCCTTATTACTCTGCTGTTATCATCATCATTTCATGTACAAACACACACGGTGGCAGCTCCCAGGACTGGGCTGCCACCTGCCCTTGTCTCCTGCCCCCAAGCTTAGAACTTGACCCCTGGCACCCACTCTGGATCCAGAGCAGACAGGCAGATGAACCACAGGGCCCACGGCCACACCTGATGGGCATGTGTGCCTCGGATGACCCTCAGCTGGCAGGGGCCAGGGAAGGAGCCGGCTGGCAGCGGGGGCAGAGTCTTGTCTGTCTGTCGCGGACACTTCCCAGCCGCCTCTGGCTGGGCTGGGCATTGCAGGAGTCTGGGCAGGGGTGATGAGGGGCCGAGGATCTCGGGCTCAGGAGATGTGGACACTGGTGTCTCCTTGTCCCTCGACCCACCAGGCCTCTTTGTGTCCTCACAGCCCAGCCAGGTGGAGGACGCTCCATCTGCGGAGAAGGGTGAGGAGGAGGAAGAGGAAGAGGAGGAGGAGGCAGCCCCAGGCCCAGCCCCAGCCCCAGCCCCAGCGCCTGAAGACCCTGTGGAGCCCCAGCTGGCAGAAGCCAGCCAGGTTCTGGGAGCCTCGGAGATTAGGCAGGTTCGGGCATGGCCTATGGTGCAAGGATCTCAGCCCTGAGCCTGAGGTCCCCGCCTCCTGCCCTACCCAGCCAGGTCCAGGTCCTGGACTCACTCCTGCTCTGTCCCAAAGCTGGGGTGGGGGGTGGGAGGATTAGGAGGAGGGATCAGCATCTCATCTATTCTCCAGCCTCTAGGGGCCAAGGTGACCAAGTGGAGAGAGTCCTGAGAGAGACCTGACCTGGGCTCAAATCCTGACTCTGCCACTTACTCCCCATGTGGGCTGTAGGCAAGTTGCTTCACCTCCCTGACCTCAGTTTCCTCATCTGTAAAATGGGAATGATAATCCCTCTCCCCAGGGGCTACTGCTATGGGCGTGAAAGGCCCTTGGAAACAGTAAACTACTCTGTAACCTGTAAGCACCATGCCTGTGTGAGTGTCCTTCTGAGACCCCATGGACATAGTGGAAGGAGGGTGGGAGGACAAGGATCCCTCACTCACCTCCACCCTGTCCCCAGCTCAGCCTCCACCTCCCACCGAGAGTCACAGGATATTCCTGGCGTCTGGCCTTCTGCACGTCGAGGGATGGCTTCAGTCTGCGGAGCCTGTACAGGCAGATGGAGGGCCACAGCGGGCCAGTGCTGCTGGTGCTGCGGGACCAGGATGGGCAGGTGAGCTGGGCCAGGGCCCCAACCTGAGGCTCTGGGGGTCCCCAACCAGGTAGCAGCGGGTCCTGCCCCGGGGCAGCCTTGGGGATGAGAGGGCAGAGGTGAGAATCTCAGTCGCCTAAAATGGACACTGATGATGACATTGAGAACTACTCTGCTCAGAGCCATTCCGCCATTCATTTATTCCCTAATTCATTCATGCAATACATGTACATATGTATATTAAGCACCTTCTGTGTGCCAGGTTAGTCTAGACTAGAGCAGGGTCATCTCGGAGCTGGTTCCAGCCCTCTTGGAGCTAAAGGCCTAATGGGGGGCGGGGCCAGATGTTAAGCAAATAATCATTTGACTGTAAATACAAAACTGCATCTTTATCCTCAGAAGCACAAGAAACTGGGGAGAGATTTTAAGCAGAGGATCTACACCTTAATGATCCGTTTAGGTTTTGACAACTCCCCCTGCTGGTGGGAGAAGGATTGGCGAGTGAAAGCTGAGAGATCTGTGAGGGGCACCGAAAGGAGCCCCTGCATTTTACAGCAGCGACCTCGAGAGGGCACAGTCTCAAGTCCGTCCTGTCTCTCAAGTGGGGAGACTGCAGGCAGGCTCTCCAGGCAGGAGTGGGAGCTGGTCACCTGCTCTTCTGGGGAGGGAACGTGTTAGAGCTGGGAGAGATCTCAGGGTCCTGGAGGACCCCCACTTGGGCAGGAGCTCCCTCCTCAAGATGCCCAGGGAGGGACTTCTGCCTCAAGGCCTGGAAGCTCACTCCCTCTGGACAGAGCCCCTTCCTTGGCAGAACACTGCTGACTGTGGGGAATTTTCTCCTTACATTCAGCCAAAACTGCCTCCTCATAGCTGTCCCCAATAAGCCTGCCTCTGCCCCTCAGTATTGTTCATAACAGTGAAAACTGCAGTCCCCCTAACTCTCCTGCAAGGAAAAATGGCCAAGTCAACTCTGGTCCCGCTATCCAGTGAAATATTGGGCAGGCAAGAAAAATGATAGAACCATAGCTATTAAAAGTGTTAAGTTTTTGTTTTTAAAGCAGGATATAAAAGGCACTCTTGGGACAACTGGGGAGAATGGAATATGAACTGGATGCTAGATAATATTATGGAATTACTGTTAATTTTCTTGGGTGAAATAACAGTATTGTGGTGGTAACAAGAGAAAGTTCCCATTCTTAAGAGCTGAACTATTTAGGGTTAAAGAGTCATAATATCTGCAACTTACTTTCAAATGAAACAGAAAAAAACAGAGAGCAAGTACGGTGAACACGTTTACAGTTCTGAATCTGTGTGGAGCGTTATCTGAACTACGCTTTTAACTTTCCTGCATGTTTGAACTTTTATAAAGAAAAGTGAGGTGGGGAAGCAGCTTACAAAACAGAGGCACCATAGGATCTCGTTCTTTGTATAAGAACACGTACCCTGGGGCCGGCCCGGTGGCGCAAGCGGTTACGTGCGTGCGCTCTGCTTTGGCGGCCCGGGGTTCACAGGTTCGGATCCCGGGCGTGCACCGATGCACCGCTTGGTAAGCCATGCTGTGGCGGTGTCCCATATAAAGTAGAGGAAGATGGGCACGATGTTAGCTCAGGGCCACTCTTCCTCAAGAAAAAAGGGGAGGATTGGCATTGGATGTAAGCTCAGGGCTAGTCTTCCTCACCAAAAAAAAAAAAAAAAAAGAATGCGTACCCTGGCATTAAACAGACACTGGAAGGAAATGCACCAGAATGTTAAGAATAGTCATCCTAAGGAGGAAGAAGGGGGATTTGGGATGGCTTTATTTTTCCTTTCTGCTTGTCTACAACTTCTAATATTTTTTCTACAAGGATTACTTGCATAAAATAAGTACATTTAAGAAAAAATAGGATGACACCAGTAAGAGCTCTTCCTCGGGGAGTATTAAGGGACAAGTCGTGTGTTGATGGGCCTGTGGGGCCCTCCCCATCCCCCAGCTCTGCCCCAGCCTCCCCAGGTGCCCCTCTAGGATGAGCCTGTCTTACCAAGCCTGGAGAGTGGGGTTGCCAGAGGACCTCCAACTCCCTTCTGGCTATGAACTGCTTTCTTCTGCTTTCCAGATGTTTGGGGCCTTCTCCTCCTCGGCTATTCGACTCAGCAAAGGCTTCTATGGTACTGGCGAGACATTCCTCTTCTCCTTCTCCCCACAGCTGAAGGTGAGATTCCCACCCTGCGGCTGGAGGTGGGGAGGGAAGTAGAGTCTATGACAAAGATCCAGGGGTCCCAGTGGCCCCCAGCTTCATCCCCAGTGCTGGGGTGCCTGGTATCTTTCCATCTTTCCACAAAGGGAATGCAACAGGGCAGCGGTGGCCTGCCCATCTTCATTTTTACAAATGCTCAGTAGGTCCCTGGCAACCACTGACTGGCTCTGAGAGGAGGAGGGATGTTGCTCACCAGACACATCAGGCTAGAAAGACAAGATGGGTCCGAGTGCACGTAGACCTGTGGGCGTAGGGGTAGGAAGATGAAGACGGTTACATCCAAGGGCTTCAATCTTCTTAGGAAGTATGGGGTGAGGTCATCAGCTAAGAGTGAGGACGGAGGAGAGGGTGTGAAGGTTGTGGAGAGTGAAGGCATCAAACAGACATCACAGGAGTGGAAAGGGAGGGCCGGCCCCGTGGCTTAGCGGTTAAGTGCGCCTGCTCCGCTGCTGGCGGCCCAGGTTCGGATCCCGGGCGCGCACCAACGCACCACTTCCCCGGCCATGCTGAGGCCGCGTCCCACATACAGCAACTAGAAGGATATGCAACTATGACGTACAGCTATCTACTGGGACTTTGGGGAGAAAAAGAAGGAGGAGGATGGGCAATAGATGTTAGCTCAGAGCTGGTCTATCTCACAAAAAAAAAAGGAGTGGAAAGGGAAGCCTGCCAAAGACAACTAGAGAAACAGAAGGACAGCGGCAGTGTAGACTGGAGGTTGCGGGTCTGAGTTCCACGGCAAGCCAGGCACTTGGGCTGCACTTTCCTCCAGCCGCACTCGGCTCCTCGGGTTCAGGCACAGAGAGAGTGGGGGAGAGTGGGGCTCGTCCAGGACGGACGTGTGCCGAGCCGGTGTAACAGCGGCAGAGAGGGAAATGGAGGCTGAAGGGAGTGGAAATACAAAATGGACCACAGAATCTGGACCGGACAAGGAGGCAAGGGCAGCCAGAGGGGCACTGAGGGATGGGAGATGAAGGCGGAAACAACAGCTGAGAGGTCGCCTCGAGGTTAGAGACTTGGAGCAGTGACCCCAGCTGAGCAGTGGGTTGGAACACAGGACACAGAGAGAGGGACGTTTGAAACAGACGGGTGAGGACAGATCCTGGGTGTGACCCTGGGGGACAGTGGCTGAGGTGGGAGTAAGAAAACCCGCTGGAGAGGACGAGGAGGGGAGCTGAGGGGCGGGCGTTGGGTGGGTCCACGTGGACGGCGAAGTTCACCAAGGAGAATGCCAGGAATGGAAGGAGGGGAGGATGGTGGGCCCGAGCCAGCCACTGCTGGCTCAGAGACGGATGAGTGACAGGGACAAGACGACCGGTACAGTCAGACGGCACCAACTGCCAGGGAGTGGGGCTTTTGGAGGAGGGAGGAGAATAGTCCCAAACATCTCCTGGCTAAAGCTTTTCCTTCTCTGGGCTGTTTATTGAATAAAATACTGAGCACTTGCTTTTACTACTAATAAAAATCATGGCAGCTAACACACATCAGTTTACTACCTGCCAGGCGCTCTTCTGAGACTTTCACGAATTAGCGCTTTTAATCATCACAACAATCCTATGAGGTACATACTATTATCAGCCCCATCTTACAGATGCAGAAACCGAGGCACAGAGAGGTTGAGTAACTTGCCCAAGCTCACACAGCTAAGTCAGTATGAGGATGAGATGCAGAGACAGGCCCTGGAGCTTGAACGCAGCCACAGCACTACCCCACCCCTCTAAATGACAAAAGGTCCCTGCCTTGAGATGCTTCCAGGCTGGGAGAGGACAGATGATCACAATATAGAGTGATAAGTCCTGTGGAAGAAGCACAGAGGAGGAGCACCTAGATCAAACAGGGGTGGGGAGATCAAGGGAGACTTCCTGGAGGAGGAGCTTCTTGAGCTGGGTCTTGATGGACAATCAGAAGATCCCCAGGTGATGAAGGGCATAGGGAGCAGTCTTCTTGGAGCATGTGCAAAGGCACAGAAACTGGAGAGAAGAGGAAGCCCACGTAAGAACCCAGTAGATGAGAGGGTAGGGGGTCAGAGTGCATGAGGCGGGGCATGTCCCTCGGCACTCCCATGGCATGCCGTCGAGAAATATTTGCATGAAGAACTAGTTCCAGGTGCTTTGGTTTGCTGTTAGAGACCCCGTCTCCAATGCACAGAGCGAGACACTTCCAGCCACACGATCATCTGGTCACACGACAAGGTCACAAGGAGCCGTCTAAAGGCAAAATACACTGTACCTATCCAATCGCCTCCGCTGGCCAGCCTGGTAATCTTATCAGGAAATGGCAAAGGGGTCAGTTATTCATGGTGAACCCATGCTGGATACGAGTCATCACCACTTGCCTTCCTGCATTCACATACTAGAATTCTAAACTTCTAGAATTCTCCCCCTATGGCACTGAAAATTCTCTGACAGAATCCTTTGCTGGTTCCTCCTCATCTCCCCTTTTTTATTTTTATTTTTATTTTTTTATTTTTATTTTTGTGAGGAAGATCAGCCCTGAGCTAACATCCATGCTAATCCTCCTCTTTTTGCTGAGGAGGACCGGCTCTGAGCTAACATCTATTCCCAATCCTCCTCCTTCCCCCCCCTCAAAGCCCCAGTGGATGGTTGTATGTCATAGTTGCACATCCTTCTAGTTGCTGTATGTGGGACACGGCCTCAGCATGGCCGGAGAAGCGGTGCATCCCTGCGCGCCCCAGATCCGAACCCAGGCCACCAGTAGCGGAGCGCGCGCACTTAACCACTAAGCCACGGGGCCGGCCCTCCCCTACTTTTTAATGTCAGAGGGTCTCAGAGCTCAGTTTTTGGTTCTCGTCTCTTCCTTCTTTCCTTCGAGGTCTCGTGCGTTCTCAGCTTTCCATGCCGTCCACATGCTGATGGCCGCTTCCCCTGGGCTCCAAACTCACATATATCCACCCACCACCCAGTGCCACCACTTGGGTCCCAAACATGGCATTTCAAGCCTCATATGTCCAAAGTCGAGCTCCTAACTTCCCCCCCAAAATCTGCTCCTCCCACCATCTCCCCAACAAAGGTGACGACACCTCCATCTTTCCTGCTGCTGAGACCAAAACTTTTGGAGTCCTCCTCTGCTTCTTTCACACCCTACATCTGAGCTGTCGACGAATCCTGACAGCTCTGTCTTCTCCTTCTACCTAAATCCAGAATCCACCAGTTCTCACCATGTCCTTTGCCGTCACCCTGGTTCAAGCCACCACCGTTCCTTGCCTGTGTTCCTATAGCCTCCTAATGGTCTCTCTGCTTCCACCTTCAGTCATGGCAGTAGCTGGAGTGATCCTTTCAAAAGGTGTCAGAGCACGTCACTCCTTGGCTCCAAGCAACCAATGGCTTCCTTTCTCATTCAGAGAAAAGCCAAAGTCTTTACAGTAACCTACAAGTCCCTATATCTTCTGGCCTCTCTCTGATGTCGTTTCTTGCCACTTTTCGCTTCCCTCACTCTGCTCTAGCCCCAATGACTTCTGAGCTGGTCATCAAACATGCAGTCCTGCTCCTGCCTCAGGGCCCTTGCACATGCTGTTCTGCCTAGAATGCCCTCCACTGGATCTCCACATGGCTCAGTTCTCACCTCCTTCAGGACTCTGCTCAAATGTCACCATCTCAGTGAGGCGCTCCCTGACCCCCTGATTTAAATTTACAACACCTGGGCCGGCCCCATGGCTTAGCAGTTAAGTGCGCACGCTCCACTGCTGGCGGCCCGGGTTTGGATCCCGGGCGCGCACCGACGCACCGCTTCTCTGGCCATGCTGAGGCCGCATCCCACATACAGCAACTAGAAGGATGTGCAGCTATGACATACAACCATCCACTGGGGCTTTGGGGGAAAAAAATAAATAAATAAAAATTTAAAAAAATAATAATAATAAATTTACAACACCCCATCCCCTGGAAACCCCATTGCCCTTCTCTACTTTTTTCTCCGTAGCATCACCACCAAACATAGTATTTCTTTTACCTGTTTATCTGCCTCCTCCCACTAGACTGGGAGTCCCATGAGGCAGGAAGTTTTGTCCGTTCTACCCAGTGCCCAAAATAGTGCCTGATGCTAAATGCTAAAAAACATTGTTGAATGAAATAAAAGATTTTTTCAGGGGCCGGCCCCGTGGCGTAGCGGTTAAGTGTGCACCCTCTGCTGCTGGTGACCCGGGTTCGGATCCCGGGCGAGCACAGATGCACCACTTGTCAGGCCATGCTGTGGTGGCGTCCCATATAAAGTAGAGGAAGATGGGCACGGATGTTAGCCCAGGGCCAGTCTTCCTCAGCAAAAAGAGGAATGGCATTGGATGTTAGCTCAGGGCTGATCTTCCTCACAAAAAAAAAAAAAAAGATTTTTTCAGGGGATCACTATCTGTCTTCTTGTTATGGAATCTCATCTTCTCAAAAATTTGTTAATTTTTCCTATCTGGTCTTCTGGCACCTCTCGTGTTCCTCATGAATTCCCAGCAGTTCCTGGATTGCTATTCCAAGCATCAGCACGAATGTGGTCTTAGTTTCTTCTGTAGCAATGTTTCTGTTACTCCTTCCGGTTTGAAGGTCGTGTTCCTTGATGGAAGTAGAGGAGGTGAACTGTTTAGTCTTCTCGTGCTCACTTGTTAATATTATCTCATCTCTTCTGAGCTCAGGGCTTATCTTTTATTAGTCCATTTTCTTGCTAAAAACCCTTTGGTTGTTCACAGCTTTTTTTTGCAACTAATTATAGGCAATAATATCCTATACTCTTGTGGCCCTTTAAAACTCTTTATGAGCGAAATTGACTCTTGAATAATTTATTCATTCAACAAACATCTCTACCACGTGCCAAGAATACTGCTGGGAATGAAGACAGCCCTCACAGGGCTTATGTTAGTGGGGCAGACACTGGCACGTTGACACACCGGCAGGGTTATCTCAGAGTGGTGAATGCCGAGAAGAAAACAGGGCCTGGGAGGAAGGGCTACGTTAGATGGGGTGGTCCAGGAAATTCCTCTACAATGACAGTTGGGCTGACAGATGAGAAGGGGGCCATTTGAGGATCTGGAGGAAGAGCATGCTGGGCAGAGGGATCGGCAAGTGTGAAGGTCCTAAAGCAGGAATAGCTTTGGGCGTCCTGGGGAGGGCAAGGCCAGAGCAGCCGAAGTCAGTCAATAAGGGAGAAGAGGTCAGAGAGAAAATCGGGGGTCAGAGCAGGCTGGGCTTCCGGCCATAGTAAGGGGCTGGATTTTATTCCAGTTGCAACGGGAAGCCGCTGGAGGGCTTTAGGCAGAAGAGAAATAATGTCCAGTTGGATTCTCAAGAGCTCACTAGGATTGCGGGGCAGAGATGGGCTGTGGGCAGGAGACGGTGGAAGCAGACACCTGTCAGGAGGCTGGGATCCAGTGCAGCGACTGTGGTGTGGACTGGGTGGGCAGGAGGGAGTGGAGATGGACAGGACAGAAACGGTGGCAGCCGGGGTGTCTCTTTGGGGTGGGGCGCGCAGGACTTGCTGAGAAGTTGGGTGCAAGGCTGCACTGGGGGGGCAGGCAGGCTTGGTGTCCCCTCCAAGAGAGATGAGACAGGTAGGTAGTGAGGGGCAGAATCAGGGCCCAACTCCTGCCCTGGACTTTTCCCCTCCTCTCTCCAGCTTTGGAAGCAGGAAGCCTCAGAGGATTTTGGTCTGTTTCTAGAACAGAGGGGCTTTGAGGTTGTTGAATTCAGAATGGAGGGCATGAGGAGGTGAACTCCAAGGAGAGTGGAAAGAAGTCTCAAGAGCCCAGAGCTCAGAACATTCTGTTCCCTCCACAACACTGCCACCCAGTGGTATAGAGTCAAACTGCAAGGGCAGGACTCACTGCCCCAGTAACTGGAGCCTTTTCCTGTCACCCCAGGTCTTTAAGTGGACAGGAAGCAACTCTTTCTTTGTCAAAGGAGACTTGGATTCACTGATGATGGGCAGTGGCAGGTGCGTGTCTCAGTCCTTCCCAAGTCTCAGGGTGGTCTGTGTTCTGGTTCCTTCTCCTGCCTGGAAATGCTGGGCAAGGCTGGCCCTGACCAAATGGGGAGGCTGGTGGTCAACTTTCAGGCCTCTCCCTTCAACAGCCCCGGCTGCTGCCCAGTCCCCTGGCCAACCCCCTCAACCAGGCTCTAAGACAACATTGAGGGGAAAGAACGGCAGGAATTCTCCCGCAAAGCATTGACAGTTGGTGACAGATTAGTCTGAATTTACGTAATTTTGGGAACAGCATTCCACATGGTTGGATGAAGCTAGAGTCCAGGGGTGGGCAGGCCTCAGGTTTACCCGTCACCCCGTAATCCTAGGGAACTAACTCACTGGAGGAAGGCGGGCATCTGCCCAGAACCCGGCCTGCGCGTGTGCTGGGGGATGGGAGGTGGAGCGGATTAGGAAGAAAAGGTTAGTCTCTCCCCTGGTGTGACCTGCAAATTCAGGCAGAACCAATCTTATCCTGAGGGCAAAGATGAAAGTATTGTTTGATTAGCACCAGGCACATTCTTTGCTCTCCCAACCGCCTGAAAAGCCTCCAATGAGAGGCAGCTCGGCACGGAACACGTCAGCCATTGCTGAGTTGCGGTAACCCCCTTCCAGGCTCCAGCCTAGGTTTGCTGTCAAACGGGAGGATTAGAACGGATGCTCTCCGAAGCGTTTTGGGCTCACAGTCCACTCCTGTGAGAGTCACTCTAAAGCGCTGCCATCTTAAAAATGTTCCAAATGTTCTAAAACTGGATTGTGGTGAAGGTTGCATCCCTGTGTATATTTATTAAAATCATTGAACTCTAAAAAAAACGCATGCTCTAAACCCCGTGGGGAACAAATATGGAGTTCCCAACAATTCAGGATAAATCCGTTTAAAGGAAGATGAAACACAGGCAAAACTGAGCTGTGGTCACGGAGTGGCCAAGAGCTGATGGTGTGGATCTGAAAGGTCTCAACGCCCAGGAGTGAGCCATGCTGATTTCCCTCTCTCTTTAGTGGCCACTTTGGGCTGTGGTTGGACGGAGACTTGTACCACGGGGGAAGCCACCCCTGTGCGACCTTCAATAACGAGGTGCTGGCCCGGCAGGAGCAGTTCTGCATCGAGGAGCTGGAGGCCTGGGTTCTGAGCTGATGCTCTCACGTGGGCAGCTTCCTGAGGGAACAGGAGCTCAGACCTGCTCATGGATGCCATCCGGGCCCCTCCTTGTGCAGGGCAGCCCATTCTGTCCGAAACATGGATGGCGAGGTGGCCTACTGCTGGCTGTGGCTGTGAGCCAGCCTCCCCGTGGCCTGGGGACCCAAGACAGGCCTGGGGGCAGGCAGTGTTCTCCTGGAGAGGTGCCTCTGAAGGACTGAAAGATATTTACACCTCACCCAGGCAGTGCAAGTCCCTCGTGAAAATCATCTTTTTAGAAATTATACATGGTTTTTATAGAAAAACCAGAAGACGTAAAAAAATTAAACTTGCCTAAAATTCAACCACTCCCCCAAAACACTGACATTTTCATGTATAATCTTCCAATTTTCCATGAAGATATATATATATATACACTTTACAAAAATGGGATTCTACACTGTATGTTTTGGAAATTGTTTTAACTTAAAGAATATTGTCAAACCAGACACCTGGGCTCAACCAGTGAAACTAATAAAGACTCTAGGAGTATCACTGAGGGCTTTGTCTGCCACCAGTGTGCCAGGTACTTGCAAATCTCTTGTTTAAGTTCAAGAGGAAGATATGAAAGCAGCAAATGAACAATATGCTTATTTGGACAAAGAAGTTGAAACTGTAGATGGGAACCTCAGGAAGGTTAAAAGAAAGGCTATCATTTCTGGCACAACAGGAGCTCAGAAAACTAAGCAAATCCCATATTCCTTCCCATGCTAGTACCTACTCCCACCAGATGGAAAAGATTCTTTGTTATGCCATGACTTGCCATTATTGAATAAGGAAAACCAAATAACTTAGGCCCCGTTAAATACCATCCCCTCTCTCGCAGACCCAGCACAACATTGAGGTGCTAAGAAAACACCTGGGGAATTGCGTAGACACATTTCCTTTGCACAAAAGGGTCAACACTGGACACACAGGTGTGAGAGAAAGTCATTAAGGAAGACACCTCTGGTTTCCAGATGGACGTACATTCACAAAGCTTTATTGCAGCTGTTTCCCTCACCCAAATAAAGTAACCAGTCATTTAAACTTGCAGTTCTATTTACAGTCTCAAGGTGACAAGTTCAGTAACTCTGGAGACTAAGCTGTTAAAGCCTCCGTTTTTATACAAAGAGTGAAGATGTTTCTTAAGAAAAATTTAACCTTGTAAACTGCACACACTTCTCATAATTAGAACAGTTGCAAAGAGCACAAAGTGCAGCTGCCTTATAAGTAACAAAAGATGCAAACAAAATAGATTCAAGCTGTTTCTCAGATGGCACAATGATATAATATTGGAATACAAAATTCCAGAGTAAATCACAATGATTTAAAGGTAGGAGTTGCAGAAATAAAACAATCTTAGCAGACAAATATTTCCATTCTTGACCTTGGGTCTGGGTCCAGGAAATCTGAGACCTCTAGTTCCCCCCACTGAATGCTTTAGAGGCCACGCTTTGACTCCAACTCCAGACTGGGTTCTTGGTGAATTTCTGTAGATCTGGAGATGTTTGGGGGGTAATGTGGGGTGCCCTGGGCACAGGAACATTGCTCAACCACAGTGGTGCCTACTCCACTGCTGTAGGTAAAGAGCAACTGCTGGGAACATCAAGTTACAAAGGGAGCCTGGAATTCACTGGGTAATCACTGGTCTAGGCACAGGCAGCCCAGTCTTTGCTCTGAAACCCATCAAATGTACTGAACCAGCAAAAACCAAGTCTCAGCTCTGAGTAGCCCCAAGGATGGTTCCTGCGACAGCCTCTGATCGGCTCACGAGGGAGATGCAGAGAGCGGTCAGAGTGGAGCCTTCTTCTCCAGGCGGGGCAGTGGTAAAGCCCTCGGGACTCGGGCAGTGACTATTCAGGAGAGAAGAAACAGCCCAGGTCTAGAGCCACAGCTGACGCAGAGAACAGCCTGATTTGGGCGATCCCTCTGTCACTGGGGGAGGGATCTCCTAAAAGGTAGTTTTATGTCCCACTTTAGAGGAGGCCAGAGCCCTCAGATCTTTTCAATAAATTAATCCGGTCTCTCACCAAAAGAGTTAGAGCCTACTCCTGGCCCTCATCTCCTACTGTTTACCGTTTACCCCAACCTGGCCGAAAGGGTGAGGGAAGGTTTTTTCACTAATGTGTAGATCACTTAATGAGAGCTGTCCTCAAATTCAGGGTGATGGGTACCTCCTCAGGGGGCTAGGATTTTATATTTTGTTTTTAACCATGGCTGTTCATGACAATCCCAACTTCAAATTCCAATGTGCACCCTTATCACATTACCAATTATTGTTTTTAGAAAACAATCGTACGTCATAAGAATTCAGAGTACATAAAAGGATTGTTATTCTAAGAAAATAGACTACTAAAGGAGAAAGCCTTTAATTAATACTAAAAATAGGCAAGGTAATGCTTTTCATAGTATGTATAGCAAGATTTACCTAATACCTTTTTGTTTCTTTGCATAAAAATTACTTAGCTTCACAGATAACAGACTGGTGGTTACCAGAGGGGAAGGGGGGTGGGGGGAGGACAAAACGGGTAAAGGGGGTCAAATGCATGGTGATGGACGGAAACTAGACTTTCGGTGGTGAGCACGCTGTAGTATATACAGATGTCAAACTATGATGTTGCACACCTGAAATCTGTTATAAACCAGTGTTACCTCAAAAAAAAATTACCTAGCCTCAGCACGTGTGTACATTCAAAATATAAAATAAAAAGCACTAGTCGTCACTAAATTTGTAAAACTCTATGATTGAATTCCCTAAATTAGTTAATTGTGTTCGGGGGGGGGGGGGGTTCTTTGTAAACAACTGATGGCAGACATTCACGTGGAGTCATCCGGAAAAAGCCGGACTCTGAATCTGGCTGGTTCTCGGATGCGAGCTGGACTCTGGGCTGAATCCGTGTAATTCCACTCCCGTTTTAGAGGTGTTATAAGTGGGGCTACAACATCACCATCCTGTCGAGAAGAAGAAAATTAGGAACAGAGAAAAGCTAGCTTTCCTAACTTTGAGTGCTAGTCTCAGGTACACACATCCTGTCTTGCAGATAGACTGCTTCTTGACATACCTACTCTCGGGATACCCCAGATTATAGGTATCCCCTGCACTTGGGTCAAGCTAAGCAGATAAGAGCCTTCAGAGCACAAGCCACCAGCCCTCTTCTCTTCACAGACGGCCAGAGCAGCACACTGCCCAGGTCTCTCCCTTCACAGTCACACAACACAATCTCCATCCTGTTTCTCCAGGAGAAAGAGGGGCTGCACTGGACCCCTGCTCCTCTCTTGCCTCATCCCTCCTCTAATAAATGGCCCTGGTCTGCAAGATGGCAAAAAAAGGGAAGGACAGTATGTACTTGCAGAACTTGAACTGTCTCTGCAAACTATAACTGGGGCCATCAGCAGACTCCACCCAAAATGAGGGACATTCTCAAAGTGAAGTGACACTTTGACTTGAAAGCAGAGTGTAAGAAGCTAGGCTCTCTAACACCTGACTCTGTTATCCCAAACCGTTCTTGAACGTGTGGATAGATCCTCTTAGGTTATGTGAGGGTATCGGGTCTCTGAGAGCCTTCTTTGCACCACGAATACCATTGTGCGGTAGATGCTGTGCCCCTCATTTGCCTATTTGCTCCCAGATCCACTCGCGACCCTTCCCCTGCTCTACTCTGTACAACAGGAGCTGCCCTTGTCAATTACATTTCCCAGCTCCCGTGCCTACTGGCTGCCAGTTAGGTTTGGCCAGTGGGAGGCACTGGAGGAAGACAGGAAGAGAGGAGGGCAGAGAAGCCAGGGTATTTCTCCCCCCACCCACTCTGGCACAGGCGGCAGTGGCCGTGACTCTTCCGTGGTTCTAGCTTCTGCAGGGGCCCCAGCACCTGGGCTCCCTTGGTCCCTCCGACCCCAGAGGTGGTAGCAGCTTCCCGCTGTTGTCTCACTGTCCTCTGTTTGCTCCTTTAGCTCCGCCAAAACTTCTCTATCTCGTCCCCCACGTTACATTTTGTCCGTGAACCACACTGGATCTGACTTGATAGAGCTATTGAATGCAGCCATTCCACTGCCATGATACTCATATTTAGAAGACCCGTCTATCTCAAAGTCAACATTACTTGTGTTCAAACTCATCTCTATTTCTACCAAACTTCCTTACTTCTACCCTTCTACTTCTAATTTCAACTTGAGTGAATTTTATAAATGCAAACCTGACTATGTCACTCTCCTGCTTAAAACACTTCAATGGCTGCCACTGCTCTCAGCTTATAGGACTATGCATAATGCCCCAGGCCCCTCCCCTAAATGCACCAAGTTCTCGCTCATCTTCTGGCCTCCTCCTCTCTCCCTTTACCCAGATGACTACTTCTCACCTATTCTTCAGGTCTCAGCTTCTAAGTCCTTCTTTAAATAAGCCTTTTCCAACCAACCAAGTCTGGCTTAAATCCTCCTCCTCTTTGCTCCTCTTTGACTCTGTACACACTGCCTCCCACCCCAAAGCACTTACATGCCACTGTCATTGTTATTTACTCGGGTGTCTGTTATCCTCAGCTGGAGTGAGATCCGTGGGAACCATGTCTGTCTCAGGTACTGTGCCATCCCTGGTACCTAACACAGGGCCTGGAAACCCTGGATACACCACTCCACGAGTGAATGTATCTACATTTAAGGTGGTTGCTGCCACATGGCTGAACCTTTAATAGCCTCTGTCTCTCTGCTTCAGTTTCTCCAAGTTCCGATCCATCTGCCACCAGAGTTTGCTTTCTTCCTCAGTGGTTCAGTTTCCTTAGCTGCTACAGTACCCGAGACAGACGTACTTCCTTATTCCCATGGGTCTCACTCTAGTTGGCAAGGACAAACACAGAAGCAAACAATCATCACGGCAGCACGGTAAGTCTTGAACTCTCTTGATGATTCCCACCCCACTGTACATAAGAAAACATCTTTCTTAACCAATTATCCAAGGTTCTCCACAACCGTGTCTACTCTTCCCATGTCACTTCTCCCCACTCAACAGCAAGAATCTTCTACTCCAGCCAGCAGGTCTCCTCACGGGCCCCAAGGACACTCAGCTTGCTCCAGTTTCACGCCTTTGTCTTGCTCCCACTGCCAACAACGTCCACCTTTCTCTCTGCTACTCACCAAACACAACCTAGCCTGGATCTAGCCGAATCCTCCCTCCTTGCTAAGCTTTGCTGACAGCTCTCCAACTCTCTGCATCCTAACAGAATGCATCCATATCCCTCTTTCTGGCGCCTGATCAAGTGCCGGCGAACTGGCTACTCCTCCACGGCGGAACTTCTGTTTCCGTTTCCTTCAGCATCTGACACGGGGGAGAAGGCAGCTATGGTGTTGAGAGAGAGTACCAGACTAGGAAGTAGAACGCTGTTTCCCACCTGCCTGCCCATTATATTCAATCCGTCAGTCAACAAATATGGATTGGTCACTTTCTCTGTGCCAGGCACCTACTACGTGTAGGTCAATAACGGACAATTTTAACAACATTCTCTCCAGTATTGGCAACTATGGCTTGGCTCCTCTTCCCTTCCATTCTCTTATTCTAGAGAGTTTAAATAGTTTATAGGTTTGGGGATACTGAGTTTGAAGTAGCAAGTTAGAAAACTTATTATCAGTTGTATGTAGCCTTAAACAAGTTAACTACTCATATTTGGTAACCTTCTCTGAAAGATGAGGACACTGACTCACCTCCCAAGGTCACTGGGAGGACTGCATGAGACAACTGGTGAGGACATTATGAACTGGTGAGTTCACATGTTCACTATTTTAAACTTTTAATATTAGGACAATAATGATAAACAGAGTCCCCACTCACGATTGGTGTAGAAGAAAGCACTGGTTGACATAGATTCAGACATTTTAAAAGGAAAGCATAAAGTAGAAAAACTTTTTTTTCAAAACCATAACCAAAGGAGAACTTTTCAGAGAGAAGTAAGGATCTCTTTTGATTTTTACTTAAAAAAAAAAAAAAGTGCAAAGTATGTGAAGAAGCCGCCCACCTGCGGCTTGGTGTAATTTTTGACTAAGCACCACTGAACAAAATGCTGTCGTGCAGCAAACAAACTCTTCTCATCCGTCTTCTTACAATATACTCGGATTAGCTGCTCTGCAAATTTCTCTGGCAAAAGTTGTGACACCTTTTTGAAAAAGAAAAAATTTCACTGTCACCTTGAATTCACACACTGAAGAGATCAGCTGTTCCTAAGCCCCATTCCTGATTTATATTAAAAGCACCACATTGTTTCGTTATCTCGATTATAATCCAAAGAAAAGAATTCACGGTGGTTGTCATACTGCAAATTGGCCACAATTTTATATCAATTACTCAGATTAAAGGTTTGTATTATAGAATTAAATGTAGACTACAGACTCTCATACAGAAGATATACAGATAAGCACATTTAACTTACAGGACTTCAACCAGAGAACACTCCCTTCCCGCCAGATTTATAACCTAGCCTCTAAACTAAAAACAGCACTTACACCTATGTTCAGCAAACAGGAAAAACTGGCTGTTAAGATGGTCTAGTCTATACAATACCAGGTATACTTTAATTTTAAAGATATGCTTTTTTTTTTTTAACTGTACACATTGACTTTAGGACCTAACCTGCATGTAAAATGCAAATTTACTACAAAGATTTGCCAAATGCTACTACAGTATATTTGTTTTACCTAAGGAGTTACCTGATTTTTTGTAATCATGATTGCTTTCCTGAGGTCACTCTTACAATAGAAGCGAACATGATCAATAGGATTCTTGTCTTCCATTCCATAATCCATGTTGATAACCTCAAGAAAAGCAATAAGTAAGTGATCATTTACATAATGTCATTGAGAATTGAATTAAGGGTTGTAGGGTATCACAAGAAACGGGGCAGAGCTCTCTGGAGGTTCAGAAGTCAGAGCACTGGGAAGGTGCTTATAGTGGAGTAAAAATAACTCGGTGCAGGACCCATAGTAGGGTTTGGTCTTGAAATCTGGGTGGCGGGTATTTGTGCCTTCAACATAAGTAGGGTAAAGTCAACACCTGCTCCTTGACAGACCCTGAGGTAAGCACTAGAGATGCAACAAGGACACTTGATACATTCCCAGCCCCCAGATCACGTGGCCTCGACTGAGGTTGAACAAATAATTATAAAAGTAGTTATCTAACCACCTTTGTTATAAGAGCTACCAAGGAAAAGCAGATGGTGCTGTGACACTTTGTAACCGGGGAACCTAGTAGTCTGGGGTTCCTAGGGAATGACTGGAAATGTTTGCCTGGGAAAGTAAGTGACTTTCCTAAGTGAGAAGGAATTAACCAGGCCTAGGTAGGAAAGAAAAGAATTCCAGGCAGAAAAAATAGCTCCGAGGCAGAGAGGACTGAAACAGCTTGCTGGGTTTAGTAACACCGAAGTCATTAGTGATCTTGGTGAAAGTAGTTTTAGTAGAGTGATGGCGACAGAAAAAAGGTGCAGGAGTAAATGAGAAATAAAAAAGATAAGACAACTCTTAGAAGTTTGGCTGTTAAGAAGCAGCAAGAAAGAAGAATATTGGGAGGAATGTAGTACCTAGGAAAGGTAAGGGGGACAACTTTTCAATGAGTTTGACCCTAAAGAAGAGGAAAGGAGTGAAGAGAAGTGTGGTGCTTGTTATTTTCTTTTTTTTTTCTTCTTTTTTTTTTTTGTGAGGAAGATCAGCCCTGAGCTAACATCCATGCTAATCCTCCTTTTTTTTTTCCCCCAAAGCCCCAGTAGATAGTTGTATGTCACCGTTGCACATCCTTCTAGTTGCTGTATGTGGGATGTGGCCTCAGCATGGCCGGAGAAGCAGTGCGTCGGTGCACGCCCGGGATCCGAATCCGGGCTGCCAGTAGCGGAGCGCATGCTCTTAACCACTAAGCCACGGGGCCAGCCCTTGTTATTTTCTTAAGATGAAAGTCTGTTTGGGGCTGGCCCTGTGGAGTAGTGGTTAAGTTCACATGCTCCGCTTTAGTGGCCCAGGGTTTGTGGGTTCGAATCCCGGGCACGGACCTACACACACCGCTCATCAAGCCATGCTGTGGCGTTGTCCCACATACAAAATAGAGGAAGATGGGCACAGATATCAGCTCAGGACCACTGTTCCTCAAGCAAAAAGAGGAAGATTGGCAACAGATGTTAGCTCATGGCCAATCTTCCTCACCAAAAAAAAAAAAGAAGGTCTGTTTAACTCCTGATGGGAAAGTCAAAAAAAGAGATGAGAGAATCGATACTGTAAGGTTCTGCAGAAGTACTGAGACAAATGGCTCCATGGCTGCACTGCCCAATGTGGTAGCCACTAAGCCACATGTGGCTTTTAAATGTCAAGTTAGGGCCAGCCCAGTGGCTTAGCAGTTAAGTGCGCATGCTCCGCTACTGGTGGCCGGGGTTCGGATCCCGGGCGTGCACCGACACACTGCTTCTCCAGCCATGTTGAGGCCG